AGTACTCTGTATACTTGACAGTGAAAAGCAATTCAACAACGAGCTTAACCAAATTGAAGATTGATTACCATGTTTGAGTAGTTATTGTAAATTTGTTTTTGGAGATGAAATTAAAAAAAAAAAATTATTTAGGGGAAAGCGGGGCAACATGGCGAATGGGGCAAGATGGGTTTTCATATAAGAACTCAACAAAAAATCTTAAAATTGGGTGAAAACGAAACTGTATTTGCATCTTGTATTTTAAAACACTAATTGGCTTTTTGAAATATTATTAACGCAGTTTTATACACATAAGTTTACTTTTAGGGCCTAAAAAAAAATTCCTCACTTTCGGTTTCTCATAATGGATGGTGTCCTTCAAGTATAACTTCTTTAGAAGTAGTTTTTTGCAATTTTTGTTTATTTTTTGCTACTTTAGTTAGAGTTATTGGTAGTTTTAAAATTTTTATAAAATTGGAGGTAAAAATTGCATAATAAGTCATCTTGCCCCGGTCACGTGACCAGATGACAAATTTATGAACTTTTTATTTTAATATTTATTTCAAATTGTTATATTTGCAAACTGAAAATTCATGCAGACAATGAAAGAATTTAACAACATAAACATACTGAGAAAGTATTATGTCTTCACGACTTATAGTTTTGCAACAACTCAGGGCTTTCAAAACGTTCGCCATGTTGCCCCGCTTTCCCCTAGTTATTTTATTTAAAGCTCAATTACCAGTGCTTTTACAATTTTAATATACAATAGTAAATATGGAGTTGTAATATCAAATAATACATTGCACATTCCAATAGATAAAAGGTATTTTAATTATGAAGTAATTAAAATACCTTTTATTAATGAAATTTTATTAATGGTTAGTGTTTTAGGTTTTGGTAACTTTGTAATAATAAACGATTTTCAAATTTTTGAGAACTTTTACTTTTATATGTAGAATTATATCTTATTTTTCGATTGTATTTCTGTATTAGCTTTTTCAAGACTTTTAATTTAATGGTTCATTGTTCTATAATGAAGAAAATAACACAAATTAATAAATAAAATAAATAGCATATTTTTTCATCTATTATACTAGGATTTTGAAATTATTCTTTATGTAGGAAACTTTTGAGATGATCTGAAATTATAGCATGAGTTTTTTGACACTTTAGATCGTTAACAATATCCAGTGTTGTTTTATATTATTTTGATTTTTATCTATCAGAAGTTATTGGTTCTTTATTCTATTAAAATCCAACTTACCACTTTTTGCATTAACTTTTATGAATACTATACTGTATTACTGAGACGGTGGGCTAACTTAAGTTAATGAGCTGAACTGTTATCTCCATAAAAAATGAACCCGTTCGTCCGATATATGGAAATTAAGAAGATTAGACTAAAATAAAGTATTATTCTATATTACTTTATTATATATATATCTTCTTTTTTTTTTTTTTTTGGATTAACATTGTTGTAACATAAATATAAAGAAAAAAAACAACTTTATAGTGTTAATATCTTTGTAATACTAAAACAACGAAAAACGTCTTATGATTAATTAATCCCCTATTAAAAAGTCATATACTAAAACCGCACGCTGTGAAAGTCCCTAACTAACTAATTTCTTTGGCGAATATTAAATAATTAGGGTATTAAATACATACTGACAAAATATTAGTGAGCTATGACTGATGGCCTTGCAGGAAATAAAGATTTTTGAAACGTTCGCCATGTTTCCCCGTCTTCTCCTATACACTTACAAATGTATAGATGCGCACAGACATAAACTACTAACAATGAGACATAAGCTAGGACCTGATGGCAAGATCTTGTCGTCAGAACCTAATAAAATGCAAGCAAACAAAATAAGACAAGTATAACATACTAAAAAAAAAAGTAAAAATTAAAATAAAAAAAGTATTAAAATCCAAATAAAAATTTTCAAAATATTTCAAAACAATTTTCAAAATATTAGAAGTATCTGAGTATATTATAAAGTGAAAAAATACATTTTTTTAGATTGTGCTTGAAAAGGTAAAATGATTTTGGTAGATCAAAATTCCGCAGAATAATATTATTCCATAGGTGGGGTTAACGATAAGCAATGCATGCATATATATACATACACTGTAATGTATTACATAGTATACTATACTTGGACATGTATTATAATTTTTCAAGGTTTGATTTTTATGCATTAAATGAGTGAGCATACAATACACCAGTTCGAGCCGCGTTACGGAGAATTAAAAGAAAAGACTGGATCGAGTTTATAAGGGAAACAAATCAAGTCGTAAAATTTAATTCTTGAGTAAACGAAGTATAAACAAACGACTAAAACAAATCCTATCACTATTAAAACAAATATGTAACATATATCAAAATGGATTATGATACAGTGTGTAGTATGAAGGTTGAAGAACTGAAGTCTTATTTACGTCTTTGTGGGTTGAAAATATCTGGAAAGAAAGAAATTCTTGCAGCTCGAGTCTATTGTGCAATGGAAAACAATGTTACGCCTATTAAAACAGCTGAAGAGGTGGATCATGATATACTTACTGAGTACAAAAGAAAACTTTTTATAAACGGTGTTGAACTACTGATCCTTTTAAGCTTAGTAATGGTTGGTTATCAGAAGATGAAGGTCTAACTTGTTGGCCAACATTGTTATATCCTGATATTTACAATTATTTGTTATTTAACCCTGCTGAAATTGCAAGTAAAGACTTAAGTGACTACAAAACGTGTAAAGCTTATAGTTATTTTAAATGTGGCTGGCTTGAACCTTTTTTTTACCATCAAATAGGAATAGAGAGTAAATATTGCTATTTAAAAGGGAACTGTAGGAAATCTGAAAAAATTAATGATCCCTTTCACAAGCTATGGATTATTATTAATAAAAAAACTATATAAAAAAATAATTTCAGCACATTGTACTTGTCTAGCTGGTCTATCGCAGACATGTAATCATGTTGCTGCAAGCCTCTTTCGAATAGAGGCTGCTGTTAGAAATGGTTTGACAAATGTAGCTTGTACTTGTTCAAAATCAGAGTAGCTTCCAAATCGTAGCATAGTAGCACCAACAAAAATATGTGACTTAAAATTTGATCGTGATGAATTTGGTCAGCGTGGAAGAAAAAAGCGTTCACTAGTATCAAATAAAAGCGTAATTACAGCCCATTAGTAAACTGCGATATAAAGCTTTTAAATTTAACAGACATAGCAAAAGCAATCGAAAATGTTGCTCCTCATAGCATTATAACTTCTGCTGTACCTAAACCTGAAATTTATTATTTGGAAGAATTAATCGTGTTTGAAAATGTTACCAAACCTACAATTTTGACCATGGATGATATTATTGTTATGTCAGACAATAAATTTTCTTTTTGTGAAAATATAAAAACAAATATGACTCAAAAAATAATTACTGATATAGAGCGTCTGACTATGGATCAAAACACAAATAAGCTTTGGTTTAATTTTCGAAAGCGAGTTATAACTGCTTCAAAAGCTCACGATGTTCTAAAAAAAATTAAAAAAATTAATATGGGCATTAAAGTTGACATGCGGTCATTACACCAAAGTATTTCAGGGTTAACTTTTGTGAACCCAGATATACCTGCATTAAAGTACGGGAGAGCGATGGAAGTTGAAGCAGCATGCCAGTTTTTTGAAGTTATGAAATCCTTTCATCAAAATTTAACTGTAAATGAATGTGGATTATTTTTAGATGTAGAAATGCCCTATATAGGTGGAAGCCCTGATAGAATTGTTCGATGTTCGTGTTGCCCGCCAGCTTGTTTAGAAATAAAATGTGCATTTTCTATAAACAATACATCACCACAAGATCCTAATATATCTCTTCCTTATATTACAAAAAAGTTAAATGAAAAATTTGTCATTAACAAAAAGCATAGATACTATACTCAATGTCAGGTTCAAATGGGGACTGCTAAGATGATTAATTGTTATTTTATGGTATGGACAGCTCATGGTTATATAATTGATAAAATTGCATTTGATGAAGCTGGTTGGTTGAGTATGAAAGTTGATTTTTTTAAGTATTACAACGATCATTGCTTAAATAGTGTCTTTGTAGATTTTATGAAAATGAAAATCTGTGTTTGAAATTATAAAACCCTTCTTATATTTAAATTGGCATTTATAGATTTTTCCTTTAAAAGAAGACAATAAGATCCAAATAATGGTGTAACAATATTTAAGTAAAGTTACTCAAAATCAAAAAGTTTATCCACGCCTCTTATTATAGTAAAAAGAAGTATTAAAATGAAACACATGTATTCATTCAAAGTGCACGGTGGTGTCCGGCATGCCTTACAAGTAATTAAAAAATAAAAATTAAAAAAACAACCTCAATAATTAAATAAAAAAATACAACCTCAGTACTATCGTGTGTTTAATACAAGAAGGGGTGGAAGTTTAGTAATTTTCCAAAAGTTTTCCCACCCACAAATGTTTATTAAGATCACCCTCCTCCCTCCCATTTATTAACACCAAAAATTAAAAAAATCTCTTTAATCTTTGTTGAAAATAATGTTTTGATTTTAATAAAATAAGCTTTTCCTCACTTTATACAAGAAAACTAATTCCTATTGTAATTATAAAACAGTTGTTAAAGATGCACTGTTGACCACAATCTACACTAACTTAAATTGATTTATGCATGTTCTGTAAAAAAAAAAAAAGCCAACCCTTAAATTAAGATTCCCCTATTTATAAGGTCAGAAATAAAATTTACACCATTCCTTGTATTAAGCATTTAAGAGTAGTACTAAATTAAAAAATATATATACATTTTAAACAAATGTAAACAATTTTTTTTATTAAAGCAGGCTTTAAATTGCACAAAGCTGCACACGATAAAATAATATCATCTATATGATGAAGCATTGAAATAGGTAATACATTTTTGAAGATTTGAAAGGTTTTTATTCTGTTTATAGCCCTTTCTATGTGAATTCTTAAGTTAGCAACATCAGTAGTCTTCTTACATTCACTTGCAGTCATTTGACTTTTTACTCTTGCACTTGGTGGGACTGATAAGCTGCAATAACGAAATAATAGTTCTTCTCTTATTTGAAATCCTGTCTGCCATCACCTCATCGTCTTTTTCCAACAGATCATAAAAACCACTGTCACTTGTAATAAATTTATCTGATGCTCTGCCACCGTAACATTTGGATAGAAACGTTATGTATCCATTTGGTGCTATACCAATTAATACTTTCACAGTGTTGTGATGCTTATAATCAGACCAAGTCACTGCTTGGTTGTAAAGGGACTTTAGACGTTCAATAAATATTTCAAAACAATCAAGAATCACTCTACACTTGTGATGCTTTGCTTTCACAAAAGACTGTGGCAAGTTTTTTTTTATGACTTCACTTGGCAGCCAAACAATAATAGCTTGTCCAAGAATATTAGCAATAATTCTAATAAAAGTTGTAAAAGTATTAGAACACAAAGATTTTGAAATACCAAAACGATCAGCCATATCTTCATTTAATAAACCTAAGCGCAACCGCATAAGTGTCATTAAAAGTTCTTCTCTGTGTGATAACAGTTTACATTTAGATACAGATTTGAGTTGCTTAACTTTGCTATGTAAATGTTTTGGGCCTCTCCAATAACGAATTGAGGGTAAAAATGGTTTTAATAAACCAAAAATAACGTTAAAAATAGCTATGGAAGATATACCAGTATAAAAGTTCATTTTCTTATCATTGTTAACTAATTTCCAAGAGAACTTTTGTTTACACTTGACTGTTTGTTTTATTTTTAACTTTTTTAATTGATTAGTAAGGCTATTTACTTTACTCATGTAAGAGGTGATAAGTGAAGATTTGTATTCACATGAAGTACATTTATTAGGTAGTGGTGAACTCATTGAATAGGTATGGTCTGATAATATAGATGACAAAACATCTGCATTAAAACTAACACTTGGAAACTTGGTGACAATACTTTTTTCAGTCAGGCTACAGGCTGCATTTTATTAGAACAATGTAAAGAAGTGATTGGGTGCTTTAATAATGTTCTTCTAGCTTTTTTTTGTACATGTTGATCAAAACCCATATTTATTGTTGGATTAGGGTTCATAACAGTTGGTATTTTATCAACAAAATGATCAGAGCATACTCTATTAGCAGTTCCAGGTTCCCATGCACTTCCTTTCTTCTTTCTTTCTCGTCTAAGCTGACTAATCCAGTGTTTTCTTTTTTCGCTATTTCTCTTTAAACTTGGGAAACAAAACATTCGGAATGGTAACTCACATCCACACTCGGATAATATCTTCCCTTCGTGTTGAAAACACGTTTTATTTTTCAGTTTTTCTAGCTTATAGGAACTATTGGTACATCCTATAACAGCACAATTAACTTTCATCTTATCACTATATATTTTATCACTAATTCGCAACTGAGAAAATAAATATTTACCCTTCTAAATTCGTTTCAGGACTTTTTTTTGCGCGGTATTAATAATGGCAGAACTTCGCTTGAACCGGTGTATTGTTGTAATTGTGTTGTAATATAATGTATACTATATGAACACAAATTTATTGCATAAAAATTGTATATAATATACCCTAGTAGCAAACAATATTGGCGCAATATTGGGGCGATATTGTTTACAATATTGGCGCAATATTGTAAACTATATCGGGCCAATGTTGCAACGTGAACATTTTGCCAATATTGCCCAATATTGGCGCTACAATATTGCGCCAATATTGTAAAGTCAATATTGGCGATACAATATTGCACCAATACTGTAAAGTCAATATTGGCCAATATTGGCAAAATGTTCACAGTGCAACATTGACCCGATATAGTTTACAATATTGCGCCAATATTGTAAATAATATCGCGCCAATAATGGGGATATTATACTGGCCAATATTGGCCTAATAAAGTTTACAATTTTATCTTGATATATATAATATATATAACTAAACTAATAAACTACTGTATTATACTCTCACTATGAGATAGTGGGCATCGACTTTCATTATATTGGCGATACTTTTTCATTGCTCAATATTGGGCGTTGCTCAGTTACGGTTCTATTTTTCTTCCGTAATCTCTATTAATGGCCGTCGCCAGAAAGCTGCCAATTTTTTTCTTTAATACTTTTGTTAGTAGCGATTTCGAAACGAAGGAATACAACGATAAACGACTAAACGCAACTCTACAAAATGTTTTTAAATATCATCACAACATAATTTTGAAATATATAACTTTTCACGTATAAATATTGTAAAGTAATTAGCTTTTATTAAAATATTTATTTATTAAAAGGAAATGGGATGTAAAATACAAATATTGTGCTTTACCTATAACGACCTTGCAGGACGTATTTGTTTCATTCCATACACTGAATATGAAAAACATATTTCTTTGGCCATTAGCTGTATTAAGATTGCCGCTGTAAGTTGTTTCTCATCTCCTCCAACCGAAGTAAGAAAGTTCATCTAAAATAAGAAAACAAATGTAATATAATTGGTTGTACTAAAAATAAAATGGTTCCTCATGTGTATGCATTAGACGGTTTTCCATAATGTGATTCTTATTAAAATATGACATTATGGAAGAGTAAAAGCAATTGGTTATAAATAGATTATGACATCTGTAGCGGTGAATACACCTTACAGATGTCATAGATATCTAAAGGCGAGTTTCCACTCATCCATTTTTTCACGGGAACAGGAAAGGAACGGGAAAAATAATCACGTAGGCATGCGTAGTATAAGTTTTAATATGTCCAAAGGAAAACTACGCATGCTCACGTGATTATTTTTCCCTTTCCTATCCCGTTCCCGTGAAAAAACGGATGAGTGGAAACGCACCATAAGATTAGTAGTCATTGCTACACAAAATACATTGCTAACTGAGCATAAAAGATAAAAATCACAATAAAATGTAATAAGCATTTATATAAAACATTCTGATATACAACATAATTATAGTCAATCACGTATCATATTGTATCATTTGTTTGTATGTTTCATATAAATGTCATATATTTTAACAATTAGAATCATATATTTTAACAATTAGAAACTTTAATAGTACATGGTACTGTTTCCAAAAACTATTAACTAATATCAATTCACTGATATATACTATTGATTCATAAGGTGTTCATAATTCATAAGTTTGTTCCATAATTTTTCTTCTAGGTTTAGAAGATCTTTTTTCATCTATAACCGGCAAATAAACTCAATAAAACGAAAGAGATAATCAAGCAAAGCTCTGATGGAATCACTTAACCCTAAAACACTAAAAATTTCTTCAATCTTTGAGAAACTGAGAGACAATCTCATCAGTGTCACTTTTTTTGTAACCTTCGTCCTTTTAAGGTGGAGGCACAGATAATTCCGTTTTAAAGCAGTCTCATAACTGTCAAAAAAAAGTATAAAGAGATGAAACCATACTAAACAATCAACATTTACTATATATGAGTCAAACATAGCTGTTTAGATAAAAAACAAAGACAATACTGTAAATAAAACAAAAACAATATTGTAAATAAGATAATTACCAAAAAAATCTTATATTCAGCTGCTTTCAGTTACTTTTAAAAGCGCGACTTTACGTATGGCAGTTTAAAGGCAAGATGCTTTCAAGTGATTTGGCCAATACACCAAACTTTCATTGATACACCATGAAAAACAGATTACATTCATGGCACACATATTGTTTTTTCATTGAAAAATTCAGCCAGAGCAAATTTTGTATACTTTATTACCACCATTTTAACGGTACATCAGCTAAAAAATAATCACAAATAAATTTATGATATTCAAAAACTTCAGATTAACTTTCTTTTTTGAGATTTTTTTTTTTTTTTAACTGAAAATATTAGTCTAAAAATTATTAAGATTCATTTCTTAATGTTTAATGCAATCGCTTTTTATTGCAAGTAGAGTTTGATTATTGGTTAGTAAAAAAAAGTGAATTTTAAAGTTTGCGCGGTTTGGAAAGGTTTCTGTAATAATATTTTCTTATTCAAATATGACATTAAGGAAGATAAACAACTTGAGGCTCTAAGTAAATATTTACCATTTTGCAATTGTACATTTGATGAACCCAAGATGCATCTAGATGTTTTTTTAATGTCGTGACAGATGTTGAACACTATTTCAGATGGTAGACTATTCTACAAATTTGTGAATTCCATATTAGAAAAGTTTTTTCCGGACATCTGTTTTACAAAACATTTTTTTCAATTTATAAGCATGATCGCATGTTGTTAAGTTGGAGTTAGTCATAATGGAGGAATAAATACTAACAAATTATATAATCAAATATTAATATTAAGTAGTGGCCATATTAACACGCATGCTATTACAGATTAACTACTTAATGGTCTTTAATTACAATAAATATAATGGCTGTGCAGATGACATCATTCTGACACAGGTGTTGATAGATAAAATACTGAATGGTATTTTATGAGGAAACAAAAGAGTTGCAACTACAATTATAAAGATTGTGAATGCATTTGTAAGTTTCTGCCATGTCATTACATAAGAAACAATAGCTCATGCTAGTTAAATTTAGTCTCAGTAGTTTTTGGTTGTAAGTGAGTCCAGTCTGGCTAAAAACAAATTTACTAGACTAGCATAGAACATTTTAAATTAATTGTTGATTTTTTTAAAGTCTATGATAGTAGACAGAGCTGCAAGAATCAAGGTGAGGACGAACAAGGAAAATAAACAAGGTACAAAATGTCAAGATATTGAGATTGACAAATGATCTTTTGATCATTCCTACAGCTTTATTAGCGGTGTTATTCTTAGTACTTACAAAATAAAAGTCTAATTACTGTCAATGAAGATCCCTTTATTGACTAGAGAGTTTTTAATATTAATTGAAGTATTGAGATTTTTATCAACAAGTATATAAATGAATTTTGTATTTGTTGGTCCAAAGGGCATTGTTGGTCCTAAAGGAAAATTTTGTTGGTCCTAAGGGTATAACTTTACTTTTTTTTTTACATTAAAACTTAGTTTTCATAGTTTTGCCCAGTTTGCGATAGGGTAAAAATATATGAAATCATCCAAAAAAAATAATTTTCGACACCCTTGCGTCTCAGAATTTGTTTATTTTTACACCACTTGCAGTCCATATCAAAAAAATAATAACTGCGAAAATTTTAGTTAAAAATACCAATGGGTTCCATAGATATCGTCACTTGAAATAATGTTGACTCAGCATTTTAGTGATTTTCTGAAGCGACTACAAAGCAACTTTGACATACAGTATCTTCATAATGGCTTGGGGAAATTTCCTAAAGATTGGTACTCTAATAGATTTTAACTTGAGGAATCCAAAAATAGCACTCTTAAGACTCGATTATCTCAAGAAATGCCTCACTTATCCAATTTTGTTCAAAATTATTGACTTGTAAGTTAGTGATTTTTGGAGGTAAAATAAAGACTGTGGCCCAAAATCCCGAGTAAAAATTTTATTTGTATATCATTATTTCATCTTAGGTCTACTGAAAAAAATTAGATTCATCAATTGTCTCTCTAATACATGATCAAAATTTGCATTTAAAAAGTGTCTTTTTAGAAAAATTTAAATTTTGTAACAAAAGCAATTAAAATATTTTTTTAAACATTTATTTGAATAAAACACCAAATAGTGTTATTTATTGACTAGTTTGAATTTAAATAAACATTTAAAGTCATGGGCCAAGGGAGATGCCCTCCCTACCCACGGGAGGCCCCTCCGCCCCCTCCACAAATCTCCCTAGATTTTTTTTTTTTTTTTCACATAAAATTAATAAATAATAGTTGATTGTTAAAATACATTTTAAAAACATATTTTTTCAGTTTAAGTTTGAGAAACGATTTATTTGCGTTACTTCAAATCGATAAATACTTACCTCTTATTTCAAAGATCTTTTTACGATTTTAAGTCATAAATTTCAAAAACAAATGTTTTAAAATGTTTTTAAAACATATTGACAATAAATATCTTTATGTAGTTTTAGACTAATATAGTCATTGACATAATAAGATGGGAGTGATTTGTGATTTATTTAAACCCCCACCCCTCCTTCTCAGCCTACAATCCAAGGCCTTGGATTGTATTGTATTTTTTTCAAATCCTTAAGGATTTGAAAAAAATAAAAGACATTTAAAATGCAAATTAGGTAAATAAAATAAAAACAAAATTATTTTAAGCATAATTAATTTTTTTTTTGTAACCAACAGTTTATATTCTCCAAATCTAAATCAGTTATGTTGTATGTACGACCTAATATTGTTGTGGGTGTAGAAATTAGGCATATAACTTCAGAATTGAGCATCCAACACTCATCAGTTCTTATTGGCCAAAAGAAGTTTTTACCTGGTCCATGTGGATGCATGAATCTGACTTTTATATCAAGCTCACTTACATCTTCAGCAATCCCTACCCACCAAAATCCATCATAAAAACATACAATATAATCCATTTTTTTAATATTTAATGAAATATCTACATAATGTTTGCTTTTTGGAATGGTATCAAATATTTCAGTGCATGCATCAATACTTATTTTTTTATAACTTATAGTGTTTGGAGCAATTGGAATAAAATGATGATACATCTTTGTGCCAGGGATGTATCATCATTAGGATGTCCACCTAAATATCTTTTTTCTAATTGTGCTCGTGTTTGATCAATTTCTTCTTTTGAAAATAACTTAAAATAAATTCCATTTATCTTGGCTTTACAAAAGGAGTACATTAAATTAACATCTAAAATCTACCCAGTAGTTATTTGTTTTAGACTTTCTTGACATACTACTCTTTTAACAGTCCCACCAATACCATCACAGGGGGATTTACCATGACTGGTAGCAAAAAAATACCCATTCAGCATTTAAATCAAAGCCTTTACTGTGATGACAAAGATTGATAAAATTTTTAAAATTTTTTAATTGTGCTGCACAACCATCAGAAAAGTATTTCACACTTGATACATCAGGTAGATTTTCTTTGATATATCTAGTTATATCTTCCTGAGTCTTGTAAATAAATCCTATGTCATGATCAACATCTTCTGAAAGGTAACAAAAAGATTTATGTTTGAGAAGTTTGTTCTCTATAAAGTAAAGTACAACTGTATAAAGTGAGCATTGACTTTTGCTCCAGTGATAACTTTGAACCTCATCCTGAACAACATATTGATAGTTTTCAGCAAAATCTCCTAAAATTAAGCATTCGTTTTGATTAAGATTTTCTTTACAGTTTTTTAAGTATCTACTTTGTGTTTTTGCAATATATGAATGAGTGGTAAGGTTGTCAATACTGTCACATAATAAATCAATAAATTCATCTAGTGGCAATGACTGTGAAAGTAGTGTTGTACGATCTGTACTCTGCCATTGCTTAAATACTACATCTTCTTCATGCTCATGGTCCATAAACTCCTGCACTAAAAAACTTTTTAACGCTTCAATACCAGGACATTGGTTACATCAATGCAACATACATTCTGCATTTTCAAGAGAGCAAACAATCAATGCCATGAAATCTTTATAACTTTTATTCCACCTAATGGCATCAATGAGAAATTTTATATTTTGGTGATGTATGCAAACACATACATTGTGGGTACCTGAGGCATTAGTTGTAATACACCATTTAGGTTTAAGAGTACAAAACTTTGACATACTGACTTTGACGTTATGGTAGTCTTTTTTGAATGCAACATGTAATTCATTAAGATTGAGTAGCAATAATCTTTTTTGAACATGTTGGTTTTTCTTAATACTTACAAAATCTTTTTTTCCTGGCATCATTCTTGAAAATTCATCACTTTGATAAAAGTTAATCACTAAATTAACTGTTTCTGGTGAAAGTGGGTTTCCAGTTTTTTTCCCGGGTAATGATAGAATTCCATTCTCATTTTTAACTTTTCTTGCTGTTCGAACAAGATACTCAGACACTTCAAAGTAGCTTGATATCTTTTTACGTGTCCATGATTTTGGTGCGAGTGTTAACATTTGCACCTTATGGCGATATGAGTCAGTCTCTGAAATTTTTTATTTTATTTTATACATTAAAATGTCTAGATCATGGTCATTGTTAATGTTGTTGTTTAAAATGGGGCTTTTTATTCCTGTTGTTTAAAAAGTTTCTTTAATATTATATGCTAATGAGACCATTTTTGCAACTCTGTCAATAGTGTTCTCAAACAGTTTTGCTACAGGCAATTTGCTGTGTTTTGAAAGACTTTTTAGTTTGACCGGTGAGATTCCAAGCAATTCTATAGTGGTATCTAACTTAATTTTTTTCTCACTTTTTGATTCCCATTCCTCCTGTGAATTTAAATCTTCATCAGCTTCTATTGCTTTTTTGTAACATTTACTGCAGAATTTCCAACCTGGGGTTACATAAACATTATTTTTTTGCAAATAGTTTGGCATGTCTTTGGAAATCTTTATATTACCTTAAAAACAAATTTAGTTTTACGTTGTTAAAATAACTGAAATTATAAAACTTTTTATAAATAATAAATTGTTTTCTTTTAATTTCCATATCAATTCTGTTGTAAATAAGGTAAGATTACTATTTATAGCAATTTTTTTACTTTCCTTGTGTGTTCCAAAAGGATTGCAACACTTTGTAATTTTTCTCTCAAAATATTTTCCATAGAATTGCTCATGATAACAACATATAATTCTTATTGAACTATATTTTTCCTTTAAATTTTCTCGCCATATTATTTCTTCTTGTTTTTCACAAGGAAGATC